GTTAAAAAATGAAGGGGTAATTTTGACTCATCACTATCTTTTTTTCCCAGGAATTAAAATACCAGGGGGGGACATGGGATTTTAATTCCATGAAAATGGGGGAATTGCAATTCCATGGAATTACAATTCCCTCCAACCAAACTACAGAATTTAATGGTCTTTGGAATTAAGTGGGAATTAAGTGGGAAGGGAATTTAAAATCCCTCCAACCAAACGCCCTGTTAGGGATGTCAATCGGGCCAGCCCACTCGGTTTCGGGCTAGCCCTGTCGGGTTGTCGGGCTAATCGATTTATTAATATTTTATTTTCGGGTTCGGTTTGGCCCTAACCCTAAACTTCGGGTTTTCGGGCTAATCGGGCGGGTTAAACCATCTGAACTAAAATTAGAAACTGAAAGTGAGTACCCATATTTAGAGTAGGGATGACAACGAGACGGAACGGGACGGAATGGGGCGGGACGGAATGGGGCGGGGCGGGAAGTATACTCCCAATCTCCGTCCTCAACGAAAAGCGCGGAGAATTTAGCGGGGACGAAAAATTCCGTCCTCATCAATTTTTAGTCAAAATATTAAATTAAAGTTGATTTAAATTTTATAAAACTAAAAATTTAAGTTTTAATTTAAATTATATATATATATATATATATATATATATATATATATATATATATATATATATATATATATATATATATATTTTAAAGTATAATAATTATTCCATATATGTTAAGTTTCACATCACTTCTATAATAAAGAATAATTTTCAATAGTTCGGGTTGTCGGGCTAGCCCTTTTAATTTCGGGCTAGCCTTATCGGGTATCGGGCTAATCGGTTTTGGGCTCGTCGGGCTAATGTGTTTTATCGGGCTAGCCCGTTCGGGCCATAGCTCTGTCGGTTTCGGTTTTTTTCGGGTTGGCCCATCGGGTTCGGGCTAAATTGACATCCCTATATTCCTTGATTGTTTGTTTATTCTATTATTGATTAATGATTACTAGTATTTGTACACGTGTGATACACTGTCATATATAATAGATAAAAAATTAATATTATTCTATAAAAAAAATAGAATATCATAAGAAATAATTATTTAATAAAAATTAACATTGTAATTGTATTACACATTATTGAAAACTTTTATTGTATACGATATTTTTAGTCATACTTATTACAAATGATACATTGTTCCCACATATCATAATTTTTAATCCACTTGGATTACTTACTCTTGAGACTGCTACGTACATTTGACCATGATTAAAGACCGACCTTCACAAAAATAAACTCACTTGTGATAGTGTTTGTCCTTGGTTTTTATTTATTGTAATGACATATTATAGCATCAAAGGAAATTACTTTCTTTGGAACTTGAAAGATTGGATCAGGATGTGTTAACCACATTTGCAGAATTAAAACATTTGTTCCTGCATTCGTTACACACATAATTTGAGCTTTCAAAATATGATCCGCCAACCTTGTAACGATTAGTCTTGTACCATTACAGAGTCCTAATGAGTGATCTATATTTCTCAATAGCATCACAGATGAACCAACTTTTATAGTCAAAGCATGATTCGGAACTATAGAACAATGCAAACCATTTAAGAATTTCAGTGTGTGCAAATCAGATAGCATATCTACATTTGAATATGATTTATAAATCAAATTACAGCTCAAATACATCCTACCTTCAGCAGGATTCTTATCATTCATGTAATCATTGATAATTTGATAAATTCCTTGACTTTTTGTTTATTCTATTATTGATTATTTGTTAGCTTTTATCATTTTATGTTATTTTATTATTTACATTACTATGCAACTTGAAACACCGTATGTATTACAAGAATGCATATTTAGTTGTTACAAAGTGTAGATTTAGTTGTTACAAAGTGCATTTTTGGGCAACACTTAAAAAATCAATGAAAAACTAAACTTTAAACATAAATCATAAATACAAAACCTTAAGCAATAAAAAGTGAACCCCTAAACCAAATAAAACTAAAAAAAAATGCAGTGCTAAACTCTTAAATTCAAACTCTAAATGCACTGCACTTTCACATTATACGCAAAGTTCGATTTTAATCCTAAAACTGTACTTTGTAACAATTAGAATTGCACTTTGTAACAACTAAATATACATTTCTATGAAAAAACGTGGTGACATTTTGCATAATGCAATTTTTAATATAAAAACTGCACTTTGTAACAACTAAAAGTGCACTTTATAACACCTAAATATGCACTTTGTAACAAAATATGCATTCATATGTTAGAAGTTGCACAATAAGTTCATGATACTTATGAAAACGCCATCCCACTATTTTTTTAAAAAAAATTTGATATGATCCATTCAATTTTTTCTAATGTAAGACTGGGATTGATTAATAGTTTTCTCCTACGAATTTGTTCTCTTGAGAACACGTGCCCCTGAGAGAAATTGAACAATCACAACTGTCCATCTATATAGATCTAATTGATTAGAAACACTTTTTTTTTTTTTTTAATGTGGTGATATTTTTATAAATAATTTAAACTTTAAAGTGCAAACAACAATATCATAAAGTGCATTTAAGTGAAGTAAAATGTTTTAAAAGTACAACAATATAATGTACACTGAGTAACAATATTAAGTGCACCTAACGTTATTATTAGTTGCGCCAAACGTTATCATTAAGTGCACCAATGTCAAAAGGAAAATTACTTGAACTATTAAGTGTAAATGATTGCACTTGTAAGTGATTTTTACTTCACACTTGCATATGTTACTTGCACTTTTAACACATGTTACTTGCACTCAAAGTTTGTGTTATTTACAAAAATATTACCGCATTTTTTAAAAAAAATTACATATGATTCGTTGACTTTTTCATATGGACGTCTCAAATTAGTTCTTATTTCTTTCTTCGGCAAACGTTCTAACTAGAGTGCTTCCACACACACACACACAGGGAAGAAAATTACATTTTTGTTCTCCAGTACGTTTTACTCGTGATACAAACTTAGCCCCTGAGTTATATGTGTGACCATTTTTAACTCCTAAGTTATGCATGGAGTGACGATTTTAGTCCTTGAATGACCAAATCAGCCACTTTACTAAGTGACAAATTGGTGGTAGAAATAGTCCACGAGGGCCTAACATCGCCATTTCGTGCATAACTTTGTGGTTAAAGATGATCACTCATATAACTCAATGCCTAAGTTTGTATCATGGATATAGCTGAAGGACCAAAAATACATTTTCACGCACACACACACACAACAGACGAATCAAATGATAACATTTGCCCATGAGGGAAATAGGAACGTATCACAGCACACACACAGAGCAGACGAATCAAATGATTTGCCCATGAGGGAAATAGGAACGTATCACAGCCGTTCATCTAGATCGATCTAACGGATCAAAGATATTTTTTAAAAGAATACAGTGACATTTTTATAAATAACTTAAACTTTAAAGAGCAAGTAAATTGTGTTAAAAGTGTAAGTAACAGTTTTATAGAGTGCAACTAAAATATATTAAAAGTACAACAATATAACGTACAATGAGCATCAATATTAAATGCACATAACGTTATCATTTGTTGTACCAAACGTTGTCATTAAGTGCACCAATGTGAAAAAGTAAATTACTTGTACTATTAAATGTAAATGGTTGCATTTTTAAGTGATTTTACTTGCGCACTCACATTTGTTTACTTGCATTTTTAACATATGTTATTTTCACTTAAAGTTTGAGTTATTTAAAAAAATGTTATTTTTTAAAAATGATTTTACTTGCACACTTACATCTAGGGGGTACATCGGTCGGTTCGGTTCGGCGGATGGACAACCCTATCGGATATTGGATATTATTATGTAAACCCTATTTCATTCTATAATTTAAGAAATCTAATTGGTTTTAGTAATTATCGGATGAGGTCGGTTCGGTCGGACATTCGATTTAAATTCGGATTATTGGATATTAAAGAAATAACTAAATAATTGAACAAAACACTTTAAATCTAAAAAGTTAAAAAAATATTACAAAAGAACATACAAAATTACATGCAATGCAAAAAATTACTTTTTCAGTGAATCTGCAATATTACACATTTACATGCAATTACAGATGACAATAGAGTTATCATTAATACAAAAAAACATACTAAGTTGTCATCTGCAATTACATGCAATTAAAGATCTGAATATACAAAAGTACAAAACATACTAAGTTCAATAAGTTTTCATTGGATGATCTGCTTCTGCAAAAACATACTAATTACTAAGTACATACAAATCTGAAATCTGCAAAAAAAAAAAAAAAAAAAAAAAAAAAAAACTACTTTTCCAATTTCCACTGTAGTTCCTAGTCTTCCTAGTTCCTATTGTTCTTCTTCTTCCTGTAAACACTCAAAACTTAAGCAAAGTTAGCAATAAACCAAATAGCCAATAACAATAGCATTATTGAGCAATAGAATATAATTAGACAATTATAAACTTGGCTCAGTAAGCTTTTTATCCATATCAAAGTTAGGATTAAGGGGAAATTGCTACAACATCCCCATGAGGATGGAGTAACATACCAGCTTAATCCCTTATTTTTCAGATCATTGGTGGAAGCTTTCATCATGACCACAATAATAAAAGTATAAAACATACTAAAATAGTAAAATGTGCCAACTTACCAACAATGTTACAACTTACAATGGCAGCAACTAATTAAATTAGTTACCAAGCCAGCTGCAAGCAAGCCTCATAAATAACAGAAATACAGTATAAATGTATTACATAATACATTCAAACAGAAACAGGAGTATAAAGTATAAAGTACAAAGCATAGCATTACACGAATTGTAGCAAGTGTAGAACCACTACTCTTTCCAGTTCCACTGCCACTATCAGTACCAATTTCTGCAACAAAAAAAAAAAAGAGAAAAGAATAGAATGTAAAAATTATAAGGAAATAAGTAAATAAAACTTGCAAGAATATTAAGCAGTGTTAACAGTTTAATGTGTTACCTTGTTCAAATCTTTCAAATTCCTCCAGATTTTCCTCAATTGATAAGGGGGTATTTGGTAGCCTAAGCCAATCCTGAGTATAGACCAAAGCTTCCACAATTTTAGGAGTTAATGAACTCCTAAAAAGGATCTAAAACCCTCTCAGATGTACTGAAGGCAGATTCTGAGGCAACAATAGATATTGGTATAGCTAAGACATCCCTAGCTATCTTAGAAAGGATAGGAAATCTTTCAGCATTCAACTTCCACCATCTAAGTATGTCAAAAGAAGTTTCATCTCCAACTATTGTCCCAGCAAGGTAAATTTCTAACTCTGTTTTTTCATTCCCCCACTCTCCAATCTTTGTTTCTAAATCTGTGACTTTAACAAATGTTAGGGCCTCCCAACTGTAGATTGTGAAAAATCAGTAGGAGTACTGACAGAACCAGTAGTGGCAGAAGCAAGAGTAGAAGCAACATAATCATTAAACAACTCTTTCAAGGCTGCAATCACTTTCTCATAGTAGGGTTTACCTTTTACCTCACCATACATGTGATTCATCTGTGTTGCCATGTACTCTAACTTGTCTAATGTTTGCAAAGAATATCATCAAGTTCATTTTATCAATATCCCCCCCAATATTTCTCAAAGTTAGCCTTCATATTTTCTCCCATCAGTTTCACAGACCCTCCAGCTTCCACCATGCCATTCAAGAGGCAATATAAATCAGAAATTTCAGAAAAGAAAGTGTTAGAAGTGACATATAAAGAACCTGAATTTCTTATTGTCATATCATAAAAACATTTCAAGATCTCCACCAAACTCTTCACAGACTCCCAATCAAGAAAATTAGGAACAGAATCAGACAAATCTGATTTGAAGGAACTATCACTTTCTTCAAGTGACTCAAACACTTTTCATATGTAATTGCAGATTGTAACATAAGATATGTAGAGTCCCATCTGGTTGGAACATCTAGACACAAAGAAGATTTCTGTTCAATCCCATTCCACTCAGCCAAGTCCCTAAATTCTTAAGTCTAGCAGGTGATCAAACTCCTCACATATCTTACAACCTCCCTTACCTTCTTCACAGAAGCATCACATTGTTTTAGGCCATCTTGCACAACAAGGTTCAGAATATGGGCAATACATCTCATGTGAATATACTTGCCCTTCACAGTAGATGTTCCCCAAGACATCAATTTCGTTTTTTTTTTTTAAACCTATAGAGTGTCGTTAGATGAAGCATTGTGCATGCATTGTTATACTGTACACATTCCTAATCCCCCAATCAAGCAAACAGGTTTCAGGGACTTTTGCAACAGACTCACCCTTATGTGATGTAATAGGGACAAATGAGATAATCTTCTTATGAAGCTTCCACTCTTCATCTATAAAATGGGCAGTCACTACCATGTAGTTAATTCTCTGAATAGAGGTCCAAGAGTCAGTTGTAATACTGACTCTTTGAGTGTTTCTCCTAAAAAAACATTTCAACTTCAGTCTTTCCTCTTCATAAATCAGATTGATGTCCCTACTAATTGTCCATCAAGATGGAATCTTAAACCTAGGACAAGCCACCAGAATGAACTTCCTAAACCCTGGACCCTCCACAAATCTAAAAGGTAGTTCATCTATTATAATCATTTCAACCAAGGCCATCCTAATAGCTTACTGGTTAAAGACCCAAGTTCCTAACTCACCAACAGTAGCAGGAGATGCATCAGAATTTGTAATAGCTTGAAAGGTTAACAGTGATTGTCTAGTGTCTTTAGAGTGGGGGTTTTTCACACAGCTAACCATGTGGTTTCTCAAGGATGTAGTACTATGTTTTTTAGATTGACATTGATAAATTTTGGCACAATATATACACTTGCCTTTGATAGTAACACCATTACTATCCTTAATTTTTTTCATAATGATCCCACACTAGTGATCTGGACTCAACAATATTCCTTTTCTTCTTAGGAACTGCAGCAGTAGGTTGCACATTCTGTTGATTATTTGTGTCAACAGTTTGGGCTTCCACCATTGTAGACCCGTCAATTGAAGATTTAGAAGGTTGACTTCTAGACTCTATGATATTTTCCATCTCAGTAAATGGAATACTATCAGTATAGTGGTCAGTGGGAAACATATTGAACAAAATCAGATAGTCACACAGAGAAGTGAGAGAACTAGAGAAATCCAGAATCAGAAGACAGGCACTTCCTACTTCATCATTTTTCTAAATTTCATAATTGGGACTTTAAGGAATTAAGGGTCATACATCCATAAACTTATAAGTTATAAACATAGTAACATACAGGCATACAGGGATACAATCACAGTATCACATTAATCACACAAAGAAATCCAGAAATTAGGAACCTGTCAGCCTATAGTGTACATTCATCATTTTATTGGATTTCACCATTGGACCTTGGGAGTTGGTCAGTTCACAGTTGGGAGTTGCAATTCGGGCTTCCACCATTTTCACCAACACATGTAACAGGGGCTATGGGCTTGAGGGCTTCAACAAAAAATACATGGGCTTGAGAGCTTCCACAAAAATACAGAGATTCACACTTCATAATACTCAACATTTATATGGATTTCACATACAAGGGCTATGGGCTTCCACAAAAAATACAGAAAAATCATACAATCACAACTAAGTGATTCTAAAAATTCACAAACAGGGGACAAGTGAGTATTGACATGCAATCTGGAACTTCTCAACAGATTGACATTGTCACAGTCCACAGAATCATAGAAACCCTAATCAAAGTATCAGACATTCACAAATAAGGGACAAGTGACATGCAATCTGGAACTTCTCAACATATTGACATTGTAACAGTCCACAGAATCATAGAAACCCTAATCAAAGTATCAGAAATTCACAAATAAGGGACAAGTGACGTGCAATCTGGAACTTCTCAACAGATTGATATTGTCACAGTCCACAGAATCATAGAAACCCTAATCAAAGTATCAGAATCATAGAATCACAACTAACAACAACGTATCACAATCTATATGACTATAATCTAATTATGTATAAGATTAGGGTTTAGAGATTACTTCGTTTCTCCAAATTAAACCCCCGAGAACAAAGGGCTTCAATTTCGAGCCAGCAATCTACAATCCACCGCACCAGTCGATAACACACTAAATAACAGAATAGGGCTTCCACCGAACAATATTAGCTTCCACCGGAGACTCACACTCTCAGTCTGTAACTCTAGAACTCTAGAAGAGACTCAGAGAGAATGAGAGAACTGGAGAATAAAGAAGTAAGAACTAGGGTTTCAAATTTCAGAGTAGAGAGAAGAGAAAACGAGACTATGAGAGTCTAGAGAGTTCTCAAGAGTCAGGAAGCTGCGCAAATGACTAGGGTTTCATCTACAAGCTTTAAAACACAACATATATACTAAACTTACACGATGTCGTATACCTAAGGGTATACGAAGTCTAACCCTAAATCGGGTTTTCGGACGGGTTCGGGTGGAATTTATAACCCCAACCCGGCTTTTTCTAACCGGCAACTGAGCACGAGATCGGATCGGGTAAGCTGCTTCGGTTTCGGATTCCGCCCAATTACTTTTCCTCAGAGTCGGGTCGGTCGGTTTAGTCGGATAGTTCGGTTTCTGCACAGTCCTACTTACATCATATGAACGGCTCAAATTATTTTTTATTTCCCTCTTGGTGCCCGTTCTCACTGCGTCAAGAGAGAGAGAGAAAAAGAGAGTTGTGTCCAAATCAAATGAATCGACCGACGAAGCATTATTGGTGAAAATGGAGCCAGAATGAAAGAGATTTGAAAAGTAGACTTTAATTTCAATCCACCAATCTCTTTACACCGGGTCTATGTTCCACCACAAGGATAAGATTACTACATTCCACTACAACTTTGAGTTAGCCACCAATACTGAGGGTAATCATCATATCTAAATAATTCAAGAGGCGAAAAAAATCTTGAATTTCATCTGTATTTGATATGGCACTGCTGCAAATACTGACTGCAATTGTTGGCCCAACTGTGACCGAGCTTTATCGACTTCTGCAGTTCGAATCCATCTGTGCTAGGATCAAGAATGTGCGCAAGATCCGTTCAAATTACAAGGATCTTGAGACCAAAAAAGAGCTCTTATCGGCTCTACAGTCTCGCCTGAGAAAAGACCTAGACGATGATCAGGTGCGGCACCGGTTACCAACAACTCAAGTGCAAGATTGGTTAAGCCGGGTTGAAAAATTGGAGAACCATTTCAATTCTGTAACGAAAAGTGGCATTACTACTAGTGATGCCTCCTGTTGTTATTGTGTAAGCTCAGTGCACTGGAAATTGAGCAACGAGATAGTGAGACAGATACAAGAAGCAAAGCAACTGATTGAAAAGGGCGAATCATATGAGAACGCAACAGCGCTTACACGCGGTCCTATTCCCAGACCAGTTCAAGAAACTGGGGTGGTGTTAATCGACGATCAATCCACTGGGGGAAGAAATTTGGACAAGTTGATGGATCTGCTGAAAAGAAAGGAGTGTAAGAGGATTGGTGTTTGGGGGATGGGAGGTGTGGGCAAAACTACTCTTGTCAAGAACTTGAATAATCAGCTCAGCAAACCTCCAAAAAACAAACTTTTCACGATGGTAATATTGGTTGAAGTATCCAGAAATGCAAGCCTGGAAAGTGTGCAATCAAAAATCGCTAAGCGGTTGTTCTTGCAAATAAGCGAGGGAGAGAGTAAAGAGAGTGTGGCCAGCCATTTATACAATAAACTTAAAGGAGAAAACTTTCTTCTGATTCTGGATAATGTATGGGAAAAAATTGATCTAGACGCTGTTGGGATTCCTCATAGTGGCAGTAAGATCATACTGACAACTCGAGAGTTTAACGTTTGTCAACAAATGTGGATTGACACCAATCTGGAAATGCGTTGTCTCAGTCCCGACGAAGCTTGGGAGTTGTTTTCTCAGAGGGTAGGGAAGGAAGTGGTGAATGATGAGCAGATTAATCCATTGGCGAAAGCTATTGTTCGACGGTGCGATGGATTGCCCCTTGCAGTGACTATTATAGGCGCATCACTAATGAAAAAGAGACAGATTTCGCTATGGAAGAATGCACTGGCCGCCTTGGAGAAATCAGAGCCTGTTCATCTTCATGGTGTTGAAGAAGATGTATACAAGAAACTCAAGTGGAGCTATGATTCTTTACAAAGTGAGCAATTGAAATCTTGCTTTTTGTTTTTCTGCTTGTTCCCGGAGCACTATGAAGTTGATATCTATAGGCTAGTCCAATACTGGCTTGCTGAAGGCTTACTGGATGAGAAGCTCAATTATGAGGAATTACACAATTCGTGTTGTGGAATTGTTGAGAGTTTAAAAGACTCTTGTTTGCTAGAAGAAGGGTCTTCTACAAATACGGTGAAGATGCATGATGTAGTTCGTGATGTCGGGATATGGATAGCATCAGCAACAACTTCTTTAGATCAGGATTACGGGTGTAAATCCTCGTTTATCTGTACTGGTGTTGGGAGGACACATGGATCACAAACCCAACTGTGGAACGGTTTCAACAACAGAGTAAATCGAGTTTCTTTCATGAATAATAATCTTGAAAAGTTGCCGGATTACAAGGTACAATGTCTTGAAACATCCACTTTATTTCTACAAGGTAACAAAAGCCTTGAAGTGGTGCCATGCTCATTTTTGGAAGGATTCCAAAAGCTAAAAGTTTTGGACTTAAGTTCAACCAAAATCAAATCCTTGCCACACTCTCTTCTTCAACTTGGCGAGCTTCGAGCTCTCATTTTAAGAGGGTGTAATGAGCTCTCTGAGTTACCATGCTTGGCATCACTCGGAGCGTTGCAAGTGCTTGATTGCAGTGGCAGTGCCATCACCAAATTGCCAGACGACTTTGAGGAGCTAACGAACCTAAGGCAATTGGACTTATCCCGCACTCGTATGTTGCAGAAATTCCCCACTAACAAGATTTCCAAGTTACATAGTTTGGAATATCTAAACATGACGGATAGTGCCACCAAATGGGGAATGAGGATAACAAATGAGGAAAACGTACCACTCGAAGAGCTGCTATGCTTAGAACGGGTAATTTCTGTTTACATAGACTTGAAATGCATTCCTCGTGTCACTAGGGAAGGTGTTTCTAGGCTCAAGGGAATTAAAAATTTCACAATTAATGTCATTGACGAAATTCCCGATCACTGGTTTTCAGTATATACACCATATCAACACAACACCAAGTCTGTGTCCTTCAATTATGTTTCTTTCTCAAGAGATGAACCGGTTGGGTGGTTGTTAAAATATGCTTTTGACTGCAAAATCATGTACTGTCAAGGAGTTGATCTTATGCTTGGCAACCTTAACCCCTGTGTTAACCTGAAGTGCTTATGCCTAGCGGGTTGTTACATCTCTTTCAAGCCCTCATCTCATCATCATCATCATCATCAATTGGGGTGTGATGTGATGCCTAATTTAGAGAAACTTATTCTTCACCGCTTGACCGGATTGAAAAGCCTTTCAGACTTCAGCAACTTCCTTGGCCTGCGTTTCACTAAGCTTAAACACATAGATGTTCTTGAGTGTTATGACTTGGAGAATCTGTTGGCAATGGACAACACTCTTCAAAAGCTTGAAGAAGTGAAAGTAATCCGAATACGAGTATGTTGGGAATTGACACAAGTATTTAAGAATGCATGTGTGGACAACTTTGTTCCAAAGCTGGAGTCACTGGAACTGACAAGACTCGAGTCACTAGGGGAAATATGCAAAGCAGATGTATCTACATGGCAAAATTTGAAGCATCTTGATGTAACAGAATGCAACAAGTTGTGGAAGTTACCTCTTGGTATCCAAAATGGGCAGGGTGTTCTGTGTATAAGTGGGGAACAAGAGTGGTGGGAACAATTACAATGGGATTGCAAAAATTTCAAGATGCGTCTACAATCACACTTTAAACGGTGTTGAATTGAACAATAAAGCACCAAGAAGTTAACGGTGCTAAATGGGGTTGTTTTGCAGGATCGGGGGAATCGTTTTGAGGGTTTGGTGGGCATGGAGCTGATACGGACTAAGGTAGGCAGTCCAGAGGTGAGTTTCTGCCGGACAAATGGTTTCTACTCCTGCCGGAGGATGTGCTGGTTTTGCTTCTACTGGTTGGGCTAAGCATGGGTTTCCAGTGGTTTATTATATTGTGGCTAGGCTGGCCATGCTCTGTGTAATTGGGTTATGCGGGGTTGTTTGTGTGGTGGCTCCGATCCGTGGACTGCAGTGCACGTGCACCGCGGTGTGCCGTTTCTTTAAGTAAAGAAACGGCCCGCAGTTACTATTAAAGGAGTGTGTATTAATTATCAACTGAAATTGTACTACAGTGTATCTAAACAGACTGCCTGACTTATTATTTTTATATTATATTATCAAGTGAAATTGCAATTGAAATGAAATGAAACTGTAGTTGTGTTGAAATGAAACTGTAGTGTATACAAAATGAAACTGAATAACAATTTCACATATTTGAATGTATATTATCCAGCGAAACTGTAGTTATATCAAAATGATATTGTAGTTGTGTTGAAATGAAACTACAGTGTATATAAAATGAAACTGAATAACATTTCACATATTTGACTGTATACTGTACAATGAAGCTGCAGTTATATCGAAATGATCATGTAGTTGTGTTTTAATGAAACTATAGTGAATATAAAATAAAATTAAATAACATTTTTCACATATTTGAGTGTATAAATATCGAATGAACCTGTAATTATATCAAAATGAAATTGTAGTTGTGTTGAACTGAAATTGCAGTGTATACAAAATGAAATTGAATAACAGAATTACTTTTTGCGGGACGACGGAAAACATGTGCAATTTTTTTCATTAAACAAAACGGCGCTGTTTTAAAACTCGGTGCATAATCAATTATGCACCGCGGTGCACGATATAATTTGCCAGATGTTGGTTTGTAGGCCCATTTCTCTAATAATCTTGGGGGTTACGCCAGTGAGTGGATTATTGAATAGGGCCAAGTTAGATTTTATTTTTGCATGCTTGCTTGGAACCTGATCACTTGGGCTTGTGACCCTTATCTCTTGTGCACCTCTGGAAGAGTAGTTATGCTGTGCATCTGTATACACATGCATGGTGCATACGGATGCAAAAATTACGTCGTTTTATTAAAAACGCGTGTCTTTTCTTTAAAAAAAATTCAGGTTCGATTCTCAACAACAACATTATGTTGTTTATTCATTCTGGAATTTTAGTTTATAGGTTATGGAATTTTAGTTCATTGATTCTGGAATTATAGTTCATCGATTCTGGAATTTTAATTCATAGATTCTGGAATTTTAGTTCATAGATTCTGGAATTTTTAGTTCATAGATTAGATTCTGGAATTTTAGTTCCTAGATTCTGGAATTATAATTCATCGATTCTGGAATTATAGTTCATCGATTCTGGAATTTTAGTTCATATGTTGTTGCTGGGAATCGAACCTGATTTTTTTTTTTAAAGGGGAGATGCGCGTTTTTAATAAAACGATGTCGTTTTTGCATCTGTATGCACAGCATAATTTGCCGTCTTTTTAATGGCCTACATATTAAACAGACTTTTAAAAGAGTTTCAAGCCAGGCCAGGCTAATTGTAGGCTCATGCTTGAGCCTAACAAAAAGCCTACATACATGCTCACCAGGCCTAGACTTTAGATTTTCGTAACAGGCCCACGCCTAATTTTCTAAAGCTCAGCTCGACTCGACCTATTTCCACCCCTAGTGAAAAAGTAGGATGGTATGACCTAGAATTCACTTTTTGGGTGGTATGAGGCAAAAGGAGAGCAAAAAGAATTGAAAAAAAAGAGATGATGGATAATATACAAGGCTTGGGCCACACGGACCGGCCCATGAAAACAATTGAATAAAAGAAGCCCAAGAAAGATATATGATATGGAGCAACCCAAGAATTTGTCAAAGATTGGGCCTGTTATTCCAAATAGAATTAGAATTCGACTCATTATATCTAGTATAATAGAATTAGATTTTATTATGTAACTAACACTCCCAATATGAGGCAGTCTAGAATTCTTATTCCTTGTAGGGCTCTAGGCCCAAAATATGTATAAATAGACTTCTCACATAGAGGAGAAGGGGAACTTTCAACAATTCACGAGCAATACTCTTCAATACAATATCCCTATATTTTCGCTATATATTTCTCTTATATTTATCTATATTCTGGTTATTCTAAACGGTAATGTCAGCTTGCCGTTGAGTGCCCAAAAGTCATAAGATCAACATTGACGGATACAAAAATTTACATTATTCGTTCCTCAAACCTAGAAACAAATAATCTCATAATTCCTACCTCAACAAAATCTTTTTTCGTCAACCGACTCCAATTTCCCGCGACCGAAACTTACGGTCGGCCGGAGGCATTATATACGCTGAAAGGGAAGTTCGAAAATTATCCAATCATTCCCATGTGTTCGTCAAAGTGCATGTTGTGCTTCAGATCCCCTAAATCAAGCTAAGGCATATGTTAATGGGAATTTAGGAGTTTCACTTGCATGCATATACAAAGGGGTTGTAAACTCTAAAAGACCATATTTCAAGGAAATTAAAATTTCAGCGGAAAAGGAATTCCAAGAGCGGCAGTTAGCGTTAACTTATGAGGCAAATTCAAGGCCTGCCAAGTGGCAACAACTTGCAAATTTGGTTTGGGCATGGCAGCTTCAATTCTTGCAGGCGGCATCAAATTTTGGAGCGGCAGCAGCAGTCTTCTTTAGCAGCTCGTTGTTTTTAAATTCTGGGCATAGCAATTTCACATGCTACATGGCACCGCATGCAATCCCAACCATACCACGACAAAAGGGCTTGTACAATCCACAAAATAAAAGATAAGTATTTCTGTTACTATTATTAATTAATTAATTAATTAATTTCCATTTAATGTTATTTTTATCAACTATTTAATGTGTCCAACTGTCAATTTATTCAATTGAAACTAATATTGAAAACAAAAAAAAAGATGATTGTCCGAAGAAGGAACCTGACGATATCAGGTGACGGAAAGTCTAATAGATGAAAGGGTGTCATGCATGGGTGAGGGTTCTAGTGTAAAGTCTAGGGGTTATGGGAGAGAAGTCTAGTCAGTATAAAGTCTAGGGCAGAGTCTAGGAGTCATCAGGGTATAAAGCATGATCGACAGGAAGTGGTCAAAAGGAGTATGTGATATCATAAATCTGAGAACGGGAGATGTTCTCAAAAGATATTTGGTGGATGGGCATACTGGCGGAAAACGGGAGATGTTCTCAGAAATATTTGGCGGATGGGCATATTGGCAGAGAACGGGCGACATTCTCAAAAGCCATTGGTTGAGTGGCATACTGACAGAGAACGGGCAACGTTATCAAAAATCATTCGGCGATTGGGCATACTGGCAGAGAACGGGAGACGCTCTCAAAAGCTATTGGCGGAGTGGCATACTGACAGAGAACAAGAGACATTTTCAAAAATCATTCGGCGGTTGGGCATACTGACAGAGAACGGGAGACGTTCTCAAAAGCCATTGGCGGAGTGACATACTGACAGAGAACATGCGATGTTCTCAAAAATCATTTGGCGTTTGGGCATACTGGCAGAGAACGGGAGACATTCTCAAAAGCGATAAGCGGAGTGGCATACTGAAAGAGAACGGGAGACGTTTTTAAAAATCATTTTGCGGATGGGCATACTGGCTGAGAACGGGAGACCTTCTCAGAAATATTTGGTTGATGGGCATATTGGCAGAAAATGGGCGACGTTCTCAGAAGTCATGACAGAGAACGGACGACGTTCTCAAAAATCATTCGGTGGTTGGGCATACTGGCAAAGAACGGGCGACGTTCTCAAAAGTCATGGTGGAGAGGAGTACTGGATGAATGGGACGTACTAGAGAACTTGACACGTTCTCAAAAATATTTGGCGGATGGACATACTAGACGTGTGGGATTATACTGAGAACGAGATACATTCTTAGGAATCACTAAAAAACTATCAAACGCACAACCAAAAAATGCTAAAAACAAAGGCACAAAATAAAAAAGGGAACAAACATCAAACAGGAAAACAGATGAGTATATTAGAAATTGTCATTACAGCACCTAAGCGATTAATAAAAAACCATAAATAAACCGCCTTCTCCATCTCTACAAACTCTTCAACATCAGCGAGTTCTCTCGGCAACACTTTCTTTCAACGGCGTACGTGACAGCGATGATTTGGTTCCAGTAGCAGCAGCGTAAATTGGTTTCAGGAGATTAATTCCCAGTTTGATAATTTCATCATCTCGGTAACAACAACTCTACATCAGGTAGTGGCAGTTTGCGGGTTCGGCAGTAGGTTTAGTGGTATCAAATTTATATACAGCAATCTCCACCTAGCATCAACAAATATCCATCAGTTCGACAGCCAATTTCTAGCATCAATTAATTAATTCGGCAATAGCAACTTTCATAGGTGTTCAACTCATGATTCAAACACTGAATTCTAGCAACAATCACGAAAAACTCAACGGCCTCAAGCAGTCAGTCAAGTTTCTCTACAGTTATCAAGGCAGAATCGTTCCTCGTTATTCGACGGTAGCTTTCAGTTCGACGGCAATTTCCATTGGCGGTAGCTGGATTCTATCGGCGGCGAATAATCTCCAACAAAGCAAACTCTAAGTTTCCGGTTGCGACAGTTTTCATCTGGGCAGCTTCAATTCTCCAGCACAGCAACAAATTAATATTTCGAGCGTGGCAGCAAAGTAAATGAAGCAACTCAGTGCAGCAGAAGGTAATTTTGGTGATGTGGCGACAAATTCTTCAATCGTTATGCGTTGGACCCGTGTCCAGCATGGTAACAGCGCGTTTAGGCACTGTTATCTTCTTTTTTTTTTTTTTTTTTTAATTTCAGACCGCTTTGTTATAGGAGTATATGTTCATAATTTTATTACTATATGTTAATAACTGTACATTCATAACTCCATAACTATACATTTATAACTCTATAACTGTACATTCATAACTCTATAACTGCACATTCATAACTCCATAATTGTACATTCATAACTCCATAACTGTACATTCATAACTCCATAATTGTACATTCATAATTTTCGAAGTTCTATGTTCACAATTTTAGAGTTCTATGTTCATAATTTTATCACTATATGTTCATAATTTTAAGTTCATAATGTCAGAGCTCTTTGTTCATAATTCGATCAATAACTGTACATTCATAATTCCATAACTGTAGATTCATTATCTCATAACTGTAGATTCATAACTCCATAACTGTAGATTCATAACTCTATAACTGTACATTCATAATCTTCGAAGCTCAATATTCACAATTTTAAAGCTCCATGGTCATAATTTTATCACTATATGTTCATAATTGTAAGTTCATAATGTTAGAGTTCTGTGTTCATAATTTCATAATTGCATAACTGTACATTCATAATGGCATAACTGTACATTCATAACGGCATAACTGTACATTCATAATCCAAAAAAATAACGCCGTTAACGCCGTTAACGGCAAAACGTGCGCGATTTTTTTTTTTTTTTTTTAACTAAATGATGCATTTTTTTGAAAAACGACGTCGTTTTGGGCTCATGTCCACAATTCAATTGTGGATGCGGGTTAGGGCATAATTTGCCCAAATTCTTGGACTCGGCCCCGGCATGCAATTTCCAAATTCTGGTGCAGCAGCTTTGATTTTGGGCTTTGACAAATTCTTCTCAATTTGACATACTTTTATATTCAAAGATTCACATGTTTGGCTGCTACCTTCGCTACATACAACAACCAAAATAAAAAAAATAAAATAAAAAAAATAAAAGGGAAAGAAGAAGAAGAAAAAGAATGAGAAAGAATGAAAGGAAGGAGGCAAAACAAGAAAGAAAAGATGACACTATGGCAGAGACACGAAAGAAAAAAAAAATCAATAAAAAAAATAAGAAAAAGCTAAAGCCTTATTATTATTATTATTATTATTATTATTATCATTATCATTATCATTATTAGTAGACCAGAAAATAGTTTGAGATATTTTCCTGAGACATTGACTTCATGAAATCTCAAGAAAGCGGGGGGACTGGATGATGGATAATATACTAGGCCTGGGCCACACGGATCGGCCCATGAAAGCAACTGGATAAAAGAAGCCCAAGAAAGATATATGATATGGAGCAACCCAAGAGTGTGCTTGTTATTCTCAATAGAATTTGAATTCGACTCATTATTTCTGGTATAATAGAATTAAGTTTTATTATGTAACTAAGACTCCCAATATGAGACAGTCTAGAATTCTTATTCCTTGTAGGATTCTAGGCTCAAAATATGTATAAATAGACATCTCATATAGAGGAGATGGGGAACTTTCAACAATTCTCGAGCAATACTTTTCAATGCAATATACCTATATTTTCGCCATATACTTCTATTATATTTTCCTATATTCTGGTTATTCTAAACGGTAGTATTGCCCTACGGTTGACTGCCCAAAAGTATTAAAACCAACAGAATACAATAACATAAAGTTCAAATCTACATATACAATTTTAATAAGAGCCAATAATGTTAGACCCTTAACTGGAATAAAAAAAATGTCGGTCCTAATTGTTTCTTAAAATGAATGGTTCATATTATTTTGATTTTAATATTTCTTAATAATTTTTCTTATTTACCCTTTATTATATTATTTTCTTCCCTTAAATAACTTTAAATTCCGTTAGTATAAACTTTCTTAACCGAATATTCCGTTAACTATTTATTATTCTTAACTTACTCATTAATTTCTATAAGAAAGTTCTTAGGGTCGAATCACATCCCAATTAGAGTTGTCATAATTGTTAAACATATACTACGGATATTGTTACAAAGTATTAAAAAATACAATATAAAATTTAATATAAACTTTGGTCAAATAATTAGCCCATCTAAATACATAGCATTCAATGATTATAAACTAGGAACTTTGAAAATCATTTGATTTTCTTTCATTTTAAAAAAATAAATTTAAGTTATGTTATTTTTTTTCGTTTGATTAATTTTATTTTGATTATTGATTAATATTTCAATTATGTTTTTATCCGTGGATGAAAACTTCTAAAGAATTGAAATTTATAAGTTAATTTTTACTAATTATTATAACAATATATATTGTAACCTTATATTTTGAATTATTTATTATCATCCTCTATTGATAGTAATTGTCATTGACAAACTATCAAAACAATTTGTCTCAACAACAAATGGAAATTAAAAAATCAATGATTTCATTATTGTGGATGAAAAGTATGTACGCCACTCTATTGCTCTTATTAAATTAAAAAATAAATTAATAGCTACAACAAAAAATAATACATATGCATTTAAATAATTTAGAATTAGATGTCTATAATGCCTCTATTTAAAATGAATTATTCATTATAAAAAAAATTAAAACGAGAAATAATTTCATTAGTTATATTATCTTTATTGTATACAATTCAAATATTCCTTACCTTCAAATTTATTAATTTATTGTATTCACTACATTATCTATTGTCTTCTTTTTACATTATCTTGTAATTAAATATCAAAGTTATAATACAAAATATGTTTATATATATATATATATATATATATATATATATATATATATATATATATATATATATATATATATATTTATTTATTTATTTATTTATTTACCAAGTATTTTTTACAAATATAATAAATATTAATATCTTGTTTAATACTTTCACATGATAACCTATGACACACATCTCAGCTCACAACACATGAAATATGTAGGGGCACTATCAAATATCAACATGCGCTTGTAAGATAAATAGTTCATAACACAATTAAAATCTCAGTCATATACACAACAAGGCAAATCTAAAGCTTCTTACACCATAATCTCATTACATGATGAATCCCTCTATGCTACCACAATAACCTAATTGCACATGACATATTACCAATAATAAAAAAAGTAAAAAAAGAAGACATGCACTGAAGATGAAGACAGTGACAATGCTACCCAAATAAGAATTAGAGAAATTTAAATCAAAATTTGTATTTATTTAGACTATCACTTTTAGACTAAGTATTTAGACTAGCGTTATTACAAAGTTGCAAATATTTATTTTGGAATAAGGTTCAAATTGGTCATTGAACGTAACATGAAAATGCAATTAAGCCACTGAACACTCCAAAAATGTGCAATTAAGCCACTAAACACTTCAAATGTATGCAATTTCACTGGATAGCAGGTTACCATCAATTTCAGCAGGTTACCTACTTACGTGGCAACTGAGTAGGCATTTTAAATAGTTTTTAATAAATTTTTATAATATTTTTTTAAAAAAATATTGAAAAACTTTAAATAAAAAAATAAAAATAAATAAAAAAATAAAAATAAAACACACGGGGTAGCCGATGGCCACCCCATCGTTTTTTTTTTTTTTTTTTTTTTTTTTAAATTTATTATTAAAAATTATTTAAAATGTAAACTCAGCTGTCACGTAAGTAGTTAATCTGCTATCACGTGAAATTGCATACATTTGGAGTGTTCAGTGGCCTAATTGCACTTTTTTTTTTTTTTTTTTTTTTTCGTTCAGTGACCTAATTGCATTTTCAGGTTACATTTAGTGGCCAATTTGAACCTTATTTCATGAACCAAACTAGCCATTATTGTTGTGACAGCTTGCATTTATATACTTTAAATTACTGATTTAAATAAACAAATTCAACATTTATTTACCTATGCATGAACATCTTCTATATAATATTGTATTGATATACTTTGAAATTCTTATTTAAAAAGAATTATTGGGCATTATCCCATTCGCGCAAAGCGCGTAGAAAAACTAGTGGATAACATAAAGTTCAAATGGATTTAGACTCAATTATCTCAGTTATAGAGATCTTCTATTGTTTTATTTTTAAGAGTTCTATTCTTATTTTTCGGAGTTCTTTTGGAATTACTCTATGTTTCTTATCTTTATAAATAGTTAGGACCCTTATTTTTAATGAAACGGCCCTGGGATCGAGTCTTGAGAGGTCCAAAAATATTTATAATTTTTACTTGTCTCAATCTTTTTATTTATTTATTTATTTATTTATTTTTTTTTTTTGAGAATTACTCTTCTCATTCTTCAAAGTTCAAATAAATGCAAAGTATCCCACACCGAACACTAATGGATCTGGAAACCCAAATATAAGATTTCAGTTGTGAACTTTGGTCACCTTACTTGAACAGGATCTGTTCTATAGGCTCGTACCTCGCTGTAGATGATCGTTCCCGGCTGCCATGGCAGGGATGGCCTCTTGGTTGTCTGACAGGCTTTCAGTGTTTTTTTCGTGCTACATTGACGAGTGGAGATTTGATTTTTTGTTGGTGGGATGAGGATATTTTATAAGGTGAAGCTAGCTGTGAAAAATCACAAGGTACGATGCTGCTTACTGATAGCTAAGAGATTGTGTTCTGCTGTTCATTATTGTTATTTTGTGTTTTGTTACCCTCAATAATCCATTTGATCTAAAATTGTAGTTCTAATTTGGGCTTGAGTAGTTGTTAGATACTCTAATACATAATAGTATTAAAGTACTTTTCAGATTTTGAGGATTAATGTTCCAAACACATATAGTCACTTAGATTGATTTAATGGAAGTTCTTCAAGCATATCTCACCTGGACACAAAATGAACATTTTCTTTAAACACACCCGACATTCTATCAAGTATTAAGGATCATAAAAATTAATGCACCAAGCCAGGAATCAAACCCAGGTCTATACCATGGCAAAATACTATTCTACCACTAGACTACTAATGCTTGTTGTCTTGGAGGTAATGGCTATTTTATAATTGCTTTTGTTTCTTACAAATTGGTGTTTGTTGTCTTGGAGGTGACGGCTTTCTTACTATTTCTCTATGTGTTTCTTACAAATGCAGGCACATATGGGGTTTCAGGAATTTATACATCCAGTCGTAGACAGTTCTATCTCTGCAGACTGTAGTATACAAAAAGAGAACTCTTACGGGAGAAATACATCGATAATTTCAGAGTGAAATATTATTGTAAAGGTTAAACGTAATAAGCTCTCAATTCCATTTAATTTCTCTCTTCAGTGTGAGTGTGAATGTGCAGCAGAGGCAAGGAGAGAGAAAGAGATGCACGCAAATGAGTTATTCCATACTTATTGTCAGTCACCAAAGCCTCCTTCACAATTCACATGATGCTGAGCGGGAGTGAATGGTCATTTTGTATGAGTCTAGGGCTGCCGAATGTGAGCACCTTATAGCTTTATCTCTAATTCGTATCAACAAGCCCGTCTAGCTCAGTTGGTAGAGCGCAAGGCTCTTAACCTTGTGGTCGTGGGTTCGAGCCCCACGGTGGGCGATTATTTTTTACCATCTTCCCATTTCTGATGGCCCAGCCCCATGGAAACAATTATTTCTGTCATTGTTCTTATAGATTTTTTTTTTTTTTTAAACCTACTTATAAAAATTAGCATATAAATTTATATCCAGTAGAAGGTTAAGACAATGAGTGCCACACAGAGCAGTTAAGAAACGAGCTTAATAATTTACAAATTTTTATGCAAAATACGAAAATTTTATGGTGATATCAGTAGTTTACATATGTTTAAAAACTTGGAATTTAATAATCAACACTATAAAGATTTCTTTATTTAAATTTTTTGTATTTATAATAAAAATTTAAAATTATAATTATAAAGTTGAAATTATTAATTATAAAAAAGTGAAAAAAAAAATAACAGATGATGTGTAAGAATGTAGGGCCTAAAAAGAGAGAACACATCTTTCAAGATGATGTGGAAGCTTGTGTGGTTTTTTTTTTTTTCTTTTATTTTGTAAGTCATGTGGCTTGCAAGTCTACAAAATGCTACCGTAGGAAAGCTAGCATCAACTTTTTGTGTACTATTTTTTTTGTGCAAAACGTTGCTGCATAGTATATATTACATGGTTAACCGGTCATTGTTAAATATGTTTTTTTAGTGTACTAAAAAGTCGTTTTTAATATATTAAAAATAAACCTTTAGTATAACAAAAATATATGTCAATGAACGACTTGCAATTAGAACCATAGTCTATTGTATAATGATTTCGTAGCTTCAAGGTACATGTCAATAACATTAAATACTAATGGGCACACATGTCATTTGGTAGATGGGACTTTTCTTCCTTCTCCCCAAAGGTTGAATCCTCAACCCTAAGGCTCCCTACAGTTTGACCTGACGGATCATTTAGAATGATGTAAATTACATTTTTAACATATTAAAAATAAGACAGTTTCACCAGAAGATCAGAGGTTAAAGCGGCAACTTTCGGCAGATAAATCTCCGGGACCGGCTGGTTTGTCGTCGACTTTTTTCCAACAGCACTGGGATGTTCTGGGCGAAGAGGTAATAACTTTCTGCCAAACGTTCATTGCTACTGGTCATATGCCTGCATCTATGAATGAAACACATTGTTTTAATCCCCAAAAAGAAGCATCCTGATTTGATGACTGATTTTAGACCAATTTCTTTGTGTAATGTAATTTATCGTATTGTGCAAAAGTATTAGCAAATAGATTAAGGGGGTTTTACATTCTGTTATTTCTTCGGCACAAAGTGCCTTTATTCCGTGGAGGTCCATTGTTGATAATGTGTTACTTGCTTATGAATCTAATCATGTAATGAATCGTGTAAAGGGGAATATGGGCCATGGGGCTTTGAAAGTGGACAGGAGTAAGGCCTACGACCGGGTGGAGTTGGGGTTTTTTGGAGCGAGTTATGAAAAAGATGGGATTCAGTGAGAGAAGCAACTGAGTATTGTTATATTCTGTTATGTTGAAGGGGGAGGATCATGGGTTATATTCTGTTCGCAGGGCATACCGACTTGCTACTGAGATGGGAGGGAGTATGAATGGTTTTGAGTGGACAAGATTGTGGAAGTTACGCTTACCCCCAAAAATAAAGTGTTTTTTCTGGACATTGTGTATAACGCAGTTACCCACTAAGGATGCTTTAATGTTGAAACAGGTCAGATGTGATCCTATTTGCTCTTTATGTGGAGTTGAAGATATTGGAAATTATATAGTAATGAAGATTAATGTTTCAAATGGAGAAACTTATATAGTAAATTATAGTGTTTGGGTGTCATTATATTAGAATCAATTGTCTTAATTTTTTATTTTTATATTTTAAAAATCTTTATTCCTATTATTATAGGGTCATACATACATAACTAAATATCAATATTGGTAGTCATCATTCCAATTCTACCTATTACTAAACATGCAAAATATTTTTACCAAAATTCATTAATTACTATTATCAAGTATTTAATTTTAATTCCAATCTGATTCCCTTATACCAACCGAAGACACCCTTTCTATTTATTTTTTTAAATACCAAAATCGTTCTAAATTGTGAATAAGCCTACTTAACTACTTAAGCTACTATACCCAAACCCCAACAACAAACCATCTTTTGTCCGTTTGTCCATTCGTGTGAATTCTAACTACAACTAACCATCTTTTGTCCATTCATTCATGTTAATTATTAAAAAGCCTCATTTGATCTGGAATGCAACAATTACATAACTCCTCGTATCTAAACTGCAGCACTACCTGGCCATTGATTCGAACTTGTGATTGACATGACCGCGTTACATTCTTTCATGGTAAGTCATAGTACCATATCATGAATAAAGCATGGCTAAACTCAGCTCGACCGACACCCAACATAAATATTACACATTAAAGTTTGCATAGAAACTTACAGTTATTATCTAATTGTGTGCACTAGGTGAACTTCATTATTGCGTAATAGTCTGCAAATCACACTGGAAAGAATACTGCACTATAACGATCTTGTGTGACGGCCTTAATTGAAATAGTGTTGGCAAGAATTGCACTCGTACCTTTAAGTACAAGAGTCATGTTCCACCTACAAGGTCACTTTTTTTCGGGACTACGCAATCTATATTTACATGATAAATAGCGGGTAATTTAAGGATCAATCTGTGGACCAAAAATTTTCACAAAAATCATTTGACAATATGTGATTTGTATTTGATTAACAAATATATTTTCTTAACACGGGTTGAGATCGGTCCCGTTCATGATAACCAAGAAATGTTTTTTTTTTTTTTTAAGTTTTATTTTCACATTAGCAAGTGGATGGATATTTTGAAATAATATGCTGTGATTAATTATTAAAGACTTAGCATATTAAATTCTTTGTTCTTTTCAAAAAATAAAAAATAAAAAAAAATTCTTTGTTTCTTAGTCTTCGCTGATTACAGACAGTTTCCTAGCTAGTATTCTACGATCCAACTGCCGGAGCTTTGGCCGCATGCTTTGCTGGTATTATTGTAGTATTTCAACTGGATGAGAATATTATTTTGAAAATGCAATTGGATGAGAATATTATTATTAAGTATTTAAGTAAAGTAATAGCGCACGAGGGGCCAAGCACCTTGTAGTCAGATGACATGCAGTGACCTTTCCCCATGTAATAAAGTCAGTGGCACTCAAAAAATAGAGCGAGAGTATTAATTAATTTTTTTTTTTTTTGAAATGCTTATGATTTTTTGTAAGGTAGTATCTGTTGTATACTTTATCAAATATTTTTAGTCCAAAGAATCTATGTCTTTACCACCGAAATTCAAACTTATGACCACCCATTTGGAAAGGTAATCGGATGTCATCACACTATATGGTAGTTGACTAATTATTCTTATTTAGATCTTGTAAATTTAAATTTAAATTAATATCAATTTAATTTCTTAATTGTTGTGATATTTATATTTTTAGTCTTCGATTATTAGTTCGATCCAATTTAATCCTTTGATTTTTTTCCAAATCGATTTGATGGAGAAAATGAATTTTGGGGAGATCAACCCGAACTAATTAACCCGATTAATTAAAGGATAAAGATATATGGACAAAGTAGTGTTTGAAAAAGACAAAGTAATCTTATAATTGTATTATGGCTCAAAGAGGGTACAAAAGGTATTTTAACAAAAACATTAATATGTAACATTTCATACATAACTCACTAGCAACTGCCCATGCAAATTGAACTGGGTGCCACCCCATTTAGGATGGGCAATTACAACCCCAGTTGGCAGCATCACATGGCTCGTCGGGGCTTACCTGACCCCTTGCTTTGGGTCGGACCAGCTTGGGCCAACCTCAAGATCGGCCTTGCCCATCTCGAGCTAACTTCGTGGTCTGCCTTGTCCGATCGATCTTCCTTCTATGGGGTTGGTCTGCTTCAATTCGGGTTGGGTTGCTCTATAACTTCGATCCATGCTTAATATGTCAATCATCAATCATCGTCCGTCTCTAAGAGAGATTATGTTCGTTTTGCTCACACGCTTTCATTTCCATGTGCGCCCAACTTGTTCCCTTTGCAAGGTGGGTCAACATAGTATTGTGGTCGACTCAGCTCATCTTCCACACATTGTGATGAGCTTGGCCACAAGCCAAGGCAAGGTGAGCTCGTCACCATAAAAAATACAAACTTGAATTGATTGGCTATAATGCAAGGTAAACTCGAACCTCTCCCCCCGCTCTTGGAATTGAGAGGTTCGCATATGGGGTTAGGCCTCCCTTGAAAATATCAAAACTCAAGATGCGAGTTTTATTAACGAAAATTATATTGAAGTAATTATTTGGTGGTCTAACCACAATACAAAAATATATCTCTATTAGTTGAATCTTCATAGGGACTCTATTTTCCCATAGTATCGAGCTCAACCATTCTTTTACTGGCACTTTAGCGCCCAACTAGTCCAAGGCATATTTCACTTGGATCGGACGACCAACCTCCCGCTCTTGATGACCTCGATTTGAATCGTTTCCTTTGTAATGAGCCAACCTCTGCAACAAGCTGACATCGAGCTCAATTCTAGTCTCCTCCACCAAGTGAGGTTAGTTAGTTGACATCACACTCGACCCAATATTTAATGGATCAAGGAGATAATTTCTTAATTAATTTTTAGCTAAACAAAAGAAGATATTTCGAAAAAATGATTCATTTTCTAAAAATTATTTTTCAAAAAACAATTTTCAAGCTTTCAAACATACCCTTATGACATGTTTGGTTCATGGAATAAGTCACGAATGGAATAACATTCCTTGGAATAGACATATTCCATCGTTTGGTTGGATCATTTTGTCATGGAAATAACATTCTTAGTAATGAGCTATTACCTTCGCAAGGGGAATAGCCATTCCTAGGGGGGCCTTGGTATTAGCTATTCAATTCCCATGCTCTTGGGAATAGCTTTTATATCACAAATACCAAAAAACCCTTTGCACTTGTATATATTTAATTAATTATAATTTTTATCCATCAATCTATCAATAAATATATATATATATATATATATATATATATATATATATATATATATATATATATATATATATATATATATATAACATTCGGTATATCATAATCATATTCATTATTATTATTATTATTATTATTATTATTATTATTATTATTATTATTTTGTATAAGGATATTTATGTCTTTAAAACCTATTCCATTTCTTTTCCTTTAACCAACCAAACACTGGAATACAATTACTAAAGTCTATTCCTTCAGCCAACCAAACAACAGAATACACTTATTCTATTCCTTACATATTCCATTCCCTATGGAATAACATTCCTATTCCCTCCAAATTCATTCCGTGAACCAAACTTGTTGTAAATTTAATCAAAACTTGGATCACTGGGAGAGGAGACCCAAAATACGCTCCTAATCGTTATCTGTCACGGTTTTTTGTGGGGACAGTACACCAAGCCGATCTTCATGAATGACGACACGTACAATGCCATTCGACGGATCATTAACCGTTCTCCAAAGCTCCATTTTTTTCCACGGCCATCTTCGCCATCCAGTCTCCTGCCTCTACCTTATTTTGCTCCCGGTAGACATGCTTGAGCATGACTACTCAATCCATTGCCATCCATAATCCATTCCTTGCAACGATCAACAATAGTTGTGATGTACCCCTTTGATGGCAAATTCCCGGTCAACCAACTCGATCAAAGATTAAAATAGAAATATCTCTAAAAAAAAAAAGAAGATAGGGTCGTTAGGTCATATTTAATTTTAGTCAAATATCTCTTTAAAAAAAAAAAATTAGATAGGGTCGTTAGGTCATATTTAATTTTAGTCAATTTTGTAATTCTTCATGAAATTATTTTATTTTAAGACAACAATCCCGTTTGTCTAATCAAATGCCTATAAAAGCACACAAATGCTTCTTTCCCGTAAACACCAAAACAAACCTTAAGCTTATAATCATTCGAAATGGCATTCAACCGCAACTCTGATGAGAACTTCATTGCGATTCTTAGCATTGATGGAGGTGGTATTAGAGGGATCATTCCTGCTACTATTCTTGCTTTCCTTGAAGCCCAACTTCAAGTAATCACTTCTAAATTAAAGTATTTGAAGCATTTCTTTTTCATTATTTAACATGAGTGTTGAAATTAAAGTATGTTTATTTTAATTTTATTTTTGATTAGGAATTAGACGGTGAAAAAGTAAGAATCTGCGACTATTTCGACTTGATTGCTGGAACAAGCACCGGAGGATTGGTGACCGCCATGTTAACAGCTCCAAATGAAGATAAGCGTCCTCTTTTTGCTGCAAAAGACATTGTTCCCTTTTACATAGAGCACGGCCCTAAGATATTTCCAGAACGGTATAATAGTAATTTTATTTATTACTGTACTATTTTTGTAATGCCTAGAAAAAAAATTGATCTCAAAATTTCTTATAGAAATTAAGGGTGTGCTTGGAAACCCAGATTCCGGGTATCTGGTGTTTGGTAAGTGATGGAAAATTTAAGTTAACTGAAAATAACATTTTGGTCAATGTTAATACACCCTTTTTCTTGAAAATGACTTCCCCCTTTTTTTTTGGGAAGTCATTTTCTACTTTCTTCCGTTCACATCTCTCGCTTCCTGTCGACGCTCCACAGCTTTCCCTTCTCGTCGATGCTCCACTATTTTCCGGCCCTCATCACTGGTTTCCGCATCGGAAACCAGAATTGGTTTCCCAGAACTGGTTTTCGCACCGGCGGAAACCAGTTCCGCACCGATGCAGGAACCAGAACTGGATTTCGATGCGGAAACCAGTTCTTGTTTCCGCACAGATGAACTGGTTTCCGTATTCAGATAGGTGATCTTGAGTTTGTTCTCAGAAAATTTGTTTATCTTGTTGAGGTGATCTTGATTGCACATCTTGTTTGTTGATTGAGAAGATCGAATTATGCTTTCGAAAATCTACTCATTTTCTGGAAAATGAACCAAACACACAATGACAGTTTTCTGTTGTGCAGCCAAACACGGGAAAAGAAATCATTTTTTGAAAAATAACTTATTTTCCAGAAAACATTTTCCAGAAGTCATTTTCTTGCTCTCCAAACGGACCCTAAATAAACATGGTTTATTAATCCAAATTTGTATTTATTTACATATAAATGTTATCCCCTTTTTTCAATCAACCTAAAATTTCATCCACTCTGCATATATTTTTTTGCTTTTGAACCGTTGAAATTTATTCCGAAAAGATACTAATATTAATGTATTTCAATTCTCTGGGTTGGGATTTTTTCATCCTTAAATTTGACAAATAGTAAGCATAAATTAATAGTTGGATGCGGCAATAATTTGTGTTGGTTGCATTAGATACATGACATGCAGAGGCGGCGGTCTGTTTGGAACAATCAGAAGAAGTTTGGCATCTTTGAGTGGTCCCAAATATGACGGTAAATACCTCCAAGAAGTTCTTGAAGAAAAGCTTGGAAACACTCGACTGCATCAAACTTTGACTCCAGTTGTCATCCCCACCTTCGACATCAATAACTTTCAACCACTTGTATTCACCAACTACGAGGTACATATATATATAGAGTTAGGATCATATGAGAACATGTACTTAGGTGAGAACGTGAGAACACATCATGTGTATCTATCTAATTTTTTTAATGGTCTAGATTAGATTAAGTGTGTGCGAACGCGCATTAAATGTGTGCAAACACACATAATTATATAAACAAAGTGTTCAAAAATAACGCACCATTAGGTGTGATGCATTTTTGGTGTGTGATACATTTGTACATTTTTAAACATTGCGGTATATTTATGCATATCTATTGGTACAATTTGTACCGGCGGCACGGGCAGTCCCGTCTGCATTTGAATTAGAATATGGCATTATTTGGTAAATGGTTGTTAGCGGTTAGCTGATTGAGTTAATTAGATCGAGAGTATAACTAGTTGATAATATTAGCTAATTGTAGAAATGTGTTTGGTAAATTAGCTGTTAGGTGATAGATGTTTGGTATAATTTCTTTTTTCAAAAAGCTAATTAAAAAAGTTGCTTTGAGCAGTTTTTTGAATGTTAGCATTTTGGAATTACAAAAAGCTAATTAACCAAACATTTATATTGATTTTTTAACCAAGTCAAACAATAAATAGTGATCAAATAAACTAAAATTGGCTGATAGGCTAACTTTTTACCAAACAGGGCCTATATATATGAGAACAAATCTCAGACTTACATTTGTAAAAATTCAATGATCTACATCAGATTTTTTTTTTTTTAAAAAAAAAAACGTGGTGACATTTTTGTAATTATCATCAACTTTACTATGTAAACTTAAATACTTAAATATGCAATTTTAACAACTAAATATGCAAACATGGTAAATTTTATAAAAGGGGTGTTTGGTATATAGCTGTTAGCGGATAGTTGATTGGGTTATTGGGTTTGACTAGTTGATATTATTCGCTGATTGTAAAATAGTGTTTGATAAATTAGTTGTTAGTTGATAGCTTATTACATACAAAATAACTTTCTCAAAAATCTGATCGAAAAAACCACTTTGAGAAGCTTTTTGAATTTTAGAATTTTGGAGCAATAAGCTAATTAATTAAACACTCATATTGATTGTTTAACCAAGTCAAACAACTAATAGTAGTCAAATAAGTCAAAATTGACTGATAAGCTAACTATGTTACCAAATAGGACCAAAATCAACGAAAATTAAATAAATTTTAAATCTAAACCATAAATGTTAGACCTTAATGTAATATTTTATATATATTTTAATTTAAAAGTATTACATTTTTTTTCTCAAAACAATTATGTTCCTTTATGAGTAACACCGCTATTCCTAGAGTGACTTTTCTGTGAGACTGTGTCACCAATCCTTATCAGCAAAATCAATTGATCGAGTGAATATGGAAATGTAATACTAATCAGGAATAATACTAATTTATAAGTAACAAACATGGTTAGTACTATAATTTCCCGTATAAGTATTACATTTTGTGGTATATTTTATTACATTTTTATCTTGACCCAACTGTCTCACGAGACGATTTCACATAAGTTTTTGCCTTATTCATAATGAATAATATTATATTTTGATTATTTTCATCCTATCTTGATCCAATTCATCTAGAAATAAAGATCCGTGAGACCTTGAGAGTCACTTAATATAATATAATATGCAGGCGGAGGATTGTCCTGAGTTGGCCGTTAAATTGTCAGACATATGCATAGGAAGTTCCGCAGCTCCAACGTATTTTCCTGCTCATTGTTTTCAGAACACTGATGATAAAGGCAACATGTTTGAGTTCAACCTCGTCGATGGCGGCGTCTGCGCTAACAATCCGGTATATATACATACATTATGCCTATATAGTTATTATCAGTTGAACTTAGTTTTACATCTAAACTTTTCCGTGTTTTGTGTTGTATGTATGTGTATATATATAAGACTCTGGTTGCGATCAGCACAGTGACGCAAAAAATGGTGAGGAAAGATCCAGATTTCCCAATATGGCAAGGAACCCATAATCCCAGAATTCAAAATATTATTTTTCCAACCAATAACTACCAACCACGACGACGGTTCCTAATACTTTCATTAGGCACAGGATCTTCAAAATATTCCCAGAAATACACTGCCGACATGGCGGCCAAATGGGGAATCGTCGGATGGTTGACTCACGCCGGCGCCAACCCTTTGATTGATCTTTTCTCCCACGCTAGCTCCGACATGGTGGATTATCACATCGCCACCAGTTTTCAGTCCCTCGATTTCGGAGACAACTACCTCCGAATTCAAGTAAGATCAGATTATTATATAAATATTGTTTTTGCTGAGAAATTTCACTTTTGGTCCCTTAACTATTATACATTAATCACATTTGGTGTTTGACTATGGGTGCAGGAAGATAAGTTAGAGGGAGATTTGGCCTCGGTTGATGTGACGACGGAGGAGAATTTGAAGAGATTGCAAGAAGTTGGGGAAGAGTTGCTGAGGAAACCTGTTTCCAAATTGGATCTTTTGACTGGACACTATAAGCCTGTTCCTACTCGTGGGACAAATGAACAAGCCTTGAAAAGGTCTTCACCTCCTCTTTTTTTTTTTTTTTTTTTTTTTTTGTCTTCTCCTTTAAAACAAAAATTAAATACCGACCTCGAATAATCATATTACTTCTAAGGGTCACACTCAATGTTGCAAAACTCCAGCCAAGGCACCGAGCCACCGATTAATCGGTGCCTAGGCACTAAGCGCTAGTTAGCCGCCTAGCGTATCACCATAATCGGTGGTCTGCCGCCTAAGCACTGCCTAGGCACTGACTGTCTAGGCCTCCTAGGCGCTGACTAGACCTCCTAGCTAGGCACTGACTAGGCCGCCTAGGTTGTCTAGTCGGTTGATTAGCTATTATTTCCTTCTTCTTTAAATCGATTATTTCACTCAAAACGATATCGTTTTGAGTGAAACAATTCTATATTGTTCAAACTCTAGATATTTTTTAGATTAATATTTAATATTTTAGTATTAACTATTAAAGTATTAAATAGTTTATAATTATCAAGTCTTAAAAAAATTTAAACAAATTTTTAAAAAATAAAAAATACATGGGCGCCTAGCAATTTTTCAACCATGGTCACACTTGTGTGGGATGAGACAGATCGTATCGATATGAGAAATAAAATATTTATACTAAAAAAATGTAATACTAATTAGGAATAAAATATTTGTTATTTATAAGGAAAAATATAGGCCCTGTTTGGTAAAATGGCTGTTAGCTGATAGCTGTTAGTTGTTAGCTGATTGTGTTAATTAGAGGGTATAAATAGTTGATAATATTAGCTAATTGTAGAAAATGTTTGGTAAATTAGCTGATAGCTGATAGCTGTTTGGTATAATTTATTTTCTCAAAAAGCTAATTGAAAAAGTTGCTTGGAGTAGCATTTTGAATTTTAGTCTTTTGGAGTTGCAAAAAGCTAATTAACCAAATATTTATATTGATATTTTAACTAAATCAAACAATTAATAATGGTCAAATAAGCTAAAATTGGCCTATAGGCCAATTTTTTACCAAACAGGGCCATAATATTTTTGAGTAAAATGCAATACTTTTGCAATATTTTTGATGTAAAAGTATTACACATTCCCTTATAAGTAATGTTAGCAAATGTTTCTTACTTTAAAATTTAATACTTATAAGGAAAAATGCAATAATTTTAAATCAAAATGTAAAAGTATCATTTTTTTCAAAAGTATTACATTTTCCCATATAAGTAATAAATATTTTTTTCTTGATAAATATTACATTTTTCAGTATAAGTATTACATGACCGAAGACGGTCTCACAAAAGTTTTGGTCTATAGTTCTAATTAAGTTATTATCAAATTTTATTTGAATAAGTATCTCCAAATATATAATTCTAAAATTTTCATTTCAAGTGTAATATTTCGAAGAACTAACTTTAATTTTATGGTGCTATACTTTCATTTATGTGTTATTTATTGAAACTAACATTCTATGTTATGGATTGCAGGTTTGCGAAAATGCTATCAGAGAATAAGAAAAATTATTCTTCCACATGCTCTGTCGAGTCGGAGTGTGGGGGCACTTACTCTTTAGGGCTGGTGATTTAGTCTTTTGGGGTAAGAGAATAAGAGAAATCGCTAAATGAATGAAGTCAAATAAGATACGAAATGTCAAGTATTTAATTCAATTTTTTCTTAAGTGTAATGCGTGATCTGGAAACTAATTAAGCTATTCGTGTGGATTTTTGTTTTGTTTTTTTTTTAATAATATTCATGTGGACCTTAATTGAGTTTTTTCTCATATTGTTATTGTTATTAATTCTTATAATTATAAAAACGATAATTTTTCTTTTGAGTACTATAAAAACGATGATTTAATATTGAATGCTTGAAGTATAATTTATGATTGTAATAATTATTTGCTTTCTACGGCTTAATGTCACTAATAATTAATAGTTGTTTGGATGTATTTTTTCGCACGTTTCTTTCTTCTTCGTTCTCACCCTCTCTCGCCAGCTTCCCACGGGCTGAGCAGCGGGACTCCCAGTCCCGTTGCCCTGGTCCGTGGGATAGCTCAGCTCGTCTTCTCCGACTTCAATCAAAATACTGCCAATCACAGTCCAAAAGATCCAAATACACATCTTAAATACAAATTTCCAGTTGCAAACCATTTATATATTCATATACATATTTCCACAGATCAAATACCAATATAGTTTGCTATCCAGCTGAAGAGTAACATAGAACTCAGTATACATAGATTCATACACACACACACATATATATATATATACATATATACATACAGCAAAATGTAGGGAAAAAATGAAGTTTTGAGTGGACATACATAAATCCTTACCCCCATAGCTACAACTCCAAGAATCACTCCCAAACTTAGTCCTCTGCCATTCCTTCCCTTCTCAAACCAAGCACAGCATCCACACCCATTTTATAGGTTATTAAGATGGTGCAGGCGAAGAGGAAGAGAGAGTTTTTTTATTATTATAAAGAAGGGGATACCCTATATACACACACTACTTGCCTCAATTGAGGTTTAAACCTTTCACCTTTCACTTAAAGGAGCAATTCAATATCAGTGAACCACAAGCCACTTGGTAAAGGAAAAGAGAGTTGGGTGAGAGATGAATAAAATGAATGAGGGTTGAGGATGAATGCGCCCGCGGCACACATAGATTTATTTAGCACACATTTGGTATTTATGTTTTGTTTGTTACTAATATATTTTGCGCTAATTAGATTATTTCTTTGTATTTCCCGAGTTTAATGCATTAATAATGCGTGAGAGTTAATTTGAATGATATTTATGCTTTATGAGACTTTTTGTTTTGTTTTTTTTTTTTTTTGTTTTGTTTTGTTTTTTTTTTTTTTTTGGCAATTCTAAGACAAAATTGGAGATATGTGATTGTTGGACAAACATAATTACTAGTTATCATACGCCCATTGCGTGAATAGTTCAATGTCAATGTGTATTTTTAAATTAGTGTTTCAGAATTTATTAAAGTATCATTTGGTATCCTGACATATATCAATGCAACATTGTCAAATTTTTCATAAAAGAAAATATTTCAAGAATGCGTAACTGTGACTCATTGCAGAAATATTGGATTAACTGGTGCAATAACAGTTTTAGAGGGAAGCATCTTCATTGAATAGTACCCTAAGCATAGTTTTTGCAACACAAAACTCTATTTATTGGCATGATCCATGCTTCCTCTTGTTGCCACTTTCGCCAGAAAAGAATTCTTGATTTGATCTAGTCTCCTAGTGTACTTTATTGCAATTTTAGTGCATTGACGCAATGCACCTTCAAAAACAGATCGAACCAAATCTTCATTCCCCAAAAAGACAATGATAATAGGCATAGTTTCTCATTTGTGTTGAATATATATTACAAATTAGGTGTATCGTTTCATCAATGCATGCCCAATGTTTGATTGGAAAACAGTACATAGTATAAATCTGAACAATTAATTACGAAACTGATACATACTCCTAACCATATTCAATTCATAGAATTCTCGTAAATGTACATATGCATGAATGACACTTAAAGGTAGTATAGAAAGTTAAAGTTCAAACTAATGTTACCATTGTGTGTATGATTGTTCCAATATGTTTTGTTTGCCCCCGCAGCTGATGATTTCTTTGATATACAGAAGAAGAAGAGCATGATGATAATTATTGGTATTAGCAATACATCTGGGCAAATTAGACAATCCACCATGTTTCAAAATAACATTCAAATTATTTATTTGTTGTTAACATATTGTATCTGTTGTTAATAAATTAGGTACCTATAAATAAATTGAAGGCACGTAATAGATGTTATAAAGTTGATATTATATGAATTCTTCGAGTATAGTTGTTTTACTACATTTTGTCCTAAACTTTTAAGTTAACCACTTGCTGTTCTTCAACATTATAATTTTAACCACCCATGGTCATTACGTTTATTTTAGTCTTTTAGGCCATGTAAAATAATGACAAAATCGTTCATTTAGAAGGATCACGGTTGGTTAAAATTTGAAAGTTAAAAGACCAAGAGTAGTTAACTTGAAAATTGAATACTCACTGATATAGTTAATTTAAAAGTTTAAGATTAAATGTGTCAAAATTGTTATACTCAATGGACCCTAGATGAAATTAACTCGTACATAAAATGTTAATTGTAAGTTACACAATTTAATAATTATAATCACATAATAATTAATTATATAAACATAATATGTTAATTATAGTAAACACATAATTTATTAATTGAAAATATATTATAGCTTACCGATCCAATGTATGCCTCCATGGTATAACAATTAATACATCTGATGTGTAAAGTGATTTTGAAATCTGACAAATTCATTATTATCTGCCACCCAAAATATCGTAAAAATGTGCGCGTACCAAGTACCAACATAAGCAATTAAGCAGATAATAATAATGAATAACATTGGTTTAGCCAAAACTTAGGGTCCAATTGAGAATATAAGAAACTTGAGATGTCCGAAAATATTTATGGTTTTTACTCTTCTCATTCTTCGAAGTTCAAATAAATGCAAAGTATCCCACACCGAATAATTATGTATCTGGGAACCCAGATATAAGATTCCAGTTGTGAACTTTGGGCACGACCTTACTTGAACAGATTTGTTCTATAGGCTCGTACGTCCATAGAGGATCCTTGACTGTCTGACAGGCTTCAAATTCTTTTATTTTGAATTTAAGTAGTGGAATTCAACTTAATAATTGAGTTTTTTTTTTTTTTTTTTTGGTAAAGTACAAAATTTTTTATGTTGATATCAATAGTTTACATATGTTTAGTTTTTGAAAGATGGAGGATAATCTGAGATATGCTGAATTTAAGTAGTGAAATTCAACTCAAAGAGGGAAATGTCAGTAATATATTTAAGTAGTCCTATTTATTAACCATCACCAAAACCATTAAGCCAATGCGGCAATGCATAATCACAAACCTGCAGAATATAGGGTATCATCAACACACACATGTCAGCTTCTTGAGAAGATGGTAAAAAGGTCATTTAGAACAACAAAGAGATCTATATAACTTTCTACTTGTGTTACAATTGTGATTACATGCAAGTTCAGAAAATCTCGCATTTGAGGCTTTATAACGTATTTGAGAAAAACAAATTTCAAGCTCAATAGACAAATTCAAAAAACATCTTTAAAAAACACAAATTTCTTTGAAGAATAGCCAAAAACAACTTTAAACGAATAAGAGACGGAAATTGTGATTACATACAATGTTATGCTAGAATAGTATGTATTCATACAACAATTATAGACAAAGATCTAATATAAAAAAATGTAACTGCAACAAATATACCTCACGAAACTAAATTCCGATTTTATCCACAGGGGCTGGGGAAATCTCATAGATTATGTAAGCATGAAATAAACTTGCACAAAAGCCCTAAGACCGTAATCTATGAAGAAACACTGCAACAGTTTTCAACTTATGGATTGAAACATTTTGCTCGAATTGAATATATAGAAAAAATATTAAAACCAAAGGATTCAAACAAATACATTCGACTGATTGTACCAAAGGAGAAAAACGCCAAAACCCAACGTTAAAAGTGTTATTTGTAGTAATGTTCCAACATTTTTTGTTGATCATGCATGGGGCGATGGAATCTATTGGTGTACATGAGTGTTTCAAAAAAAAAAAAATAAATAAAAATTGGTGTTTTGGGTTTTAAGCAAGCATACAGTTTGGCCACACCAGAAAATGGGGGAGATTATGAAATAAAAACGTTAAGACTCTTTATATAAATTACGCATCCACATAACAATCAGAAGCGTTTGTAGTCCAACGGTTAGGATAATTGCCTTCCTAGCAATAGACCCGGGTTCGACTCCCGGCAAACGCATTGTTCGTACCATTTTTTGTCCATCTGAGAGGAAGTGAAATCCAGCTTACAAATAATGATGGGATAAATTTTCCCAAAGTACGAAAATTTTAATGTTCATATCAGTAGTTATTAGATTTCTAATTGTTGAAAGATTGCTACTTATCTATGCATCTCACAAAATTTATTGTTTTTTTTTTTTTTTGAAAGGACAAAATTTATTGTTAGTCAATTAGATTAGAATGTAATATATGGTGAAAGTTAATTAACAAAGTAACGAAGTATATAGTTATATATCAATATTATAGCTCAAGTATTTTGAGTCAAATTCAAGCACTAATGCATATGTCTATAACTAATAAATAAAGAGTTAATACCATCTGAGGTCATCCGAGTATAGTGATTTTGTCACGTTTAATCCTAAACTTTCAAATTGACCATTTGTGGTTCATCGACTTTCAAATTTAACCATTCGTGGTCCTAGTTAACCACTCATGGTCCTTCAACTATTAAATTTTAACAAACCATGGTTCTTTCAAGAGGACCATGACAGGTTAAGTTTTGAAACTTGAGGACCATGGGTGGTTATCTTGGACCACAACTGGTTAAATTTAAAAGTCGAAGGACCACAAATGGTCAATTTGAAAGTTTAGGACTAAATGTGGCAAAACTACTATACTCAGAGGGCCTCATATGGTATTAACACAATATATAAATATAGTAGTACAATAATAATATGAATGTCAAGATTTGGATTATACTTACAATATGAAGAATTACCATCTATAGTAAGTGTCTTTCTACAATATTAAATGCTTATCACAAATGGGTCATGTTTACATGAGAGT